GTGGGGGGTGGAGTGGGGTGGGGGCAGAATGGGTAAAGAAAAAGGCATGTGCAAGGGGAGACAATAAGGGCAAGAAGCATGAACCTTAAGACATGCTTATTTGCAGTTACTTTGCTTCCATTATATTCACCTACTGTTTTAAACCATGTGCTTGCACTCAAACCCATTCAACATATTTATTTATATAACTTATTAATATTTAATATTCGTTAGTCTAACTAATTCAAATTTTATATAAATAGTATTTATTAGTCACATTTTGAATATATTTCTTTGAAAGTAGTTATTGTTTGATCAGAATTATAAATTTCACAAGTAAAACTTCAGTCTCCAAGTTATTATCTTTGATATTTTCCCTATGAATTTTGAAATTTCAATATATTGATTATTTTTTTTAATTAAACAAGTTATGTAATCGCTATTTTTGATTATTTTTCAGAGTAATTTACGTTGCACACTTACTCTAGAAAAGAAAAAAACGTTCTCTATAAAAAATTTCATCATTTCATAACTTGCTCCAATCAAGATTTTGATGAAGAGTCGAGAGTCTCATTCATCTCATCATATTTCATGATAGTTCATAAGTTATTTATAGGTAATTAGGTCAATTTTACAGGACCACCAACTACCAAGGGTTGTGGACTTGTGGTATGGGACGGATAGAATATGGGGTGAAATTAGACCATCAGTTTTGATTAACTATTTGAACTTAACAATTTTCATTCAAATTTTGTATTTGTCTTGAAAATTATTTAATATGTACATATTATTAATTTAGAATTCTTAAACTAAAAAAAATAAAATAAGATTTCAACCCATAGAAACTTCAAGTTTAACTCTTCATATGAAATAATCCCACCAGTACTCTTAATTAGATATCTCAAATTTTAACTCTAAAATTAAATTACTTTTTAATAAAAAAAATTAATCTTACATAATATTAATTTTAAATTAATCATAACTCTAAAACAAATATCGCACGTCGAAAAAGACCAAAAGGAGTGCCAATGAAACAGGAGAAACACGAGTGGTTGGTGACTTTTACCAGGATTAAGGGGTAAAGTAAACAAGGTCTGGAATTTTAATTTATTTATATTTTCTTAGTTTTAATAATCTAATCACTTTAGTTTTATATGTTTTTAAATTTTACAATCACAACTATTTCTACAAATTAAAAATTAAAAAAATAATTTCCATATGAACAATACTAATTAGGATATCTCCCATGCAAAGTGCATGTTCTAGGTCAGTTTAATTAGCTCAGTTTCCTATACATAAACCTAATTAATCTTAATTACAAACAAACAAATAAATAAAAATAATACAAATACGACTATCATACATGTGGGAAAAATAAATAATTCTTCTTATGTCATCCAAATTCAAAATTCTATCTATACTCAATGTTTATAAAATTAATATACAATTCATACTCGAGTAAGATCAAATATTTCTGAACTACGTAGTGTATATGTATAGTTGAGGCCTATAATTATTTTTCAAATTACTCTGTCATTGTACGTTTATGGAATCCAATAAAATTATTGTTACTTATTTGGTTGGGATCCAACAAAATTAACTATATCTCATATTACACGACTATATATTACTTTAATTTCATTATTCATCATCATTATGCTAAATTAAGGATCACGTGCAATTTAAGAAAACATGATGGGCTAAAAATCAAAGGTCATGTGACCCCATTAAAATTACATCATATAATAAGAAATCATATCACTTAATCAATTTATCGTCTAAATTAAGATTGAGTTTATGACCAATTTATAATGGAGAAAGAAAGTATTTTCTTTGTTTTAATTTATTTATCTAATTTTAAATTGATACATAATCTAAAAAATAATAAAGAATATTGAATTAGGTTTATGATATAAAATTAAAAACATGTAGAATATATCAAAATACTTTTTAATTTTATAATGTTAAGTATGTCAGATAAAAAATTAAAATTAAAAAATTTTCAAAAGAAAGTTTGTAAAATGGATTTAATTTTAGTCAAAGTACATGTAATATTAATTTAACCTTAATTAAATAAGAAAAATTATATAATATAATCACATGTTATATACATATTTTTATTAATTTAATATAAATATACTTAAATATGAAAATACCCAATAATTTTTTTTCTATTTTCCCATTTTTATGAAGTTCCCATAAACCTTGGAGACTTCTTTTTGACTTTAAACAATGTATAAAATACTTAGCATTTCAGTGTCAGCTCATTTTAGCTCGATCCTGTACCCTAACTCACCTAACATCTCTAATCAAACGTTAGAGTATACAAAATATAGATTTATATATAAAAAATATTAAGATTACAATAAATAGTAAATATGAATTTTAAATATTAATTCATAATGCTTAAATTTTGAATTCACTTCAATCGCTCAAACTAATTTTGGTCCTACTCTTTTAGGGAACTTCTTTTTAAGTACTGAATCTTGAATTTCTAAGAAAAAACTAAAACTAGAAAGACAGAAAGTGTGAGCTTCTTAAATACACACACAAATTGAAAGTTTTTTTTTTTTTTTTAATGCATATGAAGGAAAGGGGAAAAAGAAAGCAAAGTATTTTATTTTATATAAAAAGTCGAAAATACAATAATAATGTATTTGGTACGAATAAAAATAGTTTCAATTTCTCGTGTATAGTTGGATAAAAGTTTTTAAAAAATAATACTTTTCAAACAATTAAGTTTTTTAAAAATGAAAAAATAAAACTCTTAATAGAAGTACGAAAAAACAAGTTTCATGATATCATAGTGTAATGTTCCAACCCCATCATTTCACCATTCCATCCTTCGACACTTACAACTAGATTACGTATAAATATTTTTAAATTTTAAAATAAAACATTTTACGGAGAAATATTTTTTTCATACCAAACATACCCTTTTAAGTGTGTGTGTTTCTTGTTCATAGAGACACCCTTTGATTCTTAAAGTGTTATTGTATTTATAAGGTAAAATAGTAAATATATATAACGCAATTTTATATGTGTATTTTTATATTTAGATACTTTATAGTAAAATAAATTTTATTTTTGATTCTACTAGTATTAGGAGTATTATATATAGGGGGCTGGTCAAGATTCACTTTCCATATCGTTGGTCGGAGGTCCTCTGAAAAGTCATAACTCATAACCCCTCTTTCTGTCTCTCTCTGAGTTTTTTTTTTTTGAGAGAATCAAGAAAAATTTGCTGACCCAACTCACAAATCCTCAAGAAATTGTAATGGGTACGTGCCATTTCTTGTTTTCTGTTCCTCTGTGGTGTGTTCTTGGTTTTTGGTTCTTCCTAAGTTTATGATTTCAGAGGGGTTGGTTCAAAGTACTGTTTTTTCTTGGTTGGTTTTGGTTAATAGTGTCTTTGGGGTTGAGTTATCGTTTTTTTTTTTTTTGTTTTTAAGTTGTGTTTTGTTGAGTTTTGGGTGGTAAAAATCTAATCTTTTTGGCTTAGTGTCTTTGGATTTGTGGTTATCTTGTTATTGTGTTTCTAAGTTGTGTTTTGTGTGGTAAAAATCCAATCTTTTTGGCTAAGTGTCTTTGGGTTTGTAGGTTATGTTGTTATTATGTTTCTAAGTTATGTTTCGTTGTGTTTTGAGTGGTAAAAAACTGATCTTTTTTAGCTCTTGTTTAGTGTATTTGGGTTTGTGGTCATGTTTTGTTGAGTTTTGGGTGGTAAATATCAAATCTTTTTTAGCTTAGTGGTCTTTGGGTTTGTGGGTTATCTTGTTCTTCTGTTTCTAAGTTATGTTTTGTTGAGTTTTGGGTGGTAAAAATCAAATCTTTTTTAGCTCTTCTTTTTGTTATGGGATTTGGTGGAATTTGGTAGTTTTGTGTGTGTTGTGTTTTTTTTTTCCACACATATCACTTCCTTTATCTCTCTGTGTATGTGTGTGTATTTTTGAGATGTTTACAATTTTTTGGATGTGTTTTTTGCAATGTCTTTGATGGAGTATGGTTCCCACAAGCCCCACAAGAGCAGACCCACACAGGCACAGGATTAATTACTAGTTTTGTTATTCTATACTATCTAATCTTTCATGATTGGTGAGCTTTATTTTGTTCTTATTTTTCCTCTACTAATCATTTTCTTAATACTTGCTTCACTCTTGGGTTGCCAGTATCTTCTTTGTGATTGGGAAATAGTGATTCTCTTTATTCTAAAGCTCTTTTCTTTTTTTCATTGGCTGTCTTATCTGAGATTTTTACCTGTTAACACAGAAGCTACAATGAGCTATTCTCAAAACATAATGGATGATGAGTATGAGAAATTTATCAGAAGAATGAATCCACCAAGGTATTTATCATTTTGTTGTTTCCCCCCTTTGTTTCTTTAACTGTCACTTCAATTTTTGTTCATGGCATTTACTTCAACTTCATTTATCTTTTTGTCAGAGTGGTAATTGACAATGAATCTTGCAAAAATGCCACTGTTATACAGGTGTGTTGTTGGTTTTTTGGTTGTTTTGTTGTGCTATGAAATGTAGTGTTTTGATGGGAACTTTTTCTGATTTTGTGAATCTTTGGTGTTTTGATGCAGGTGGATAGTGCTAACAAACATGGAATACTTCTGGAGGTGGTACAAATTCTTACTGATCTTAACTTTATCATTACAAAGGCTTATATTTGCTCTGATGGTGGATGGTTTATGGATGGTAAGGACATTTCCCTTTTCGTATCGTTCGATTGTTAGCACATTTACTTTCAATTTGGATTTTGGAAGAGGAATTGATGAAATTAATGATGAGTTGTGTATTGTATTGGCAGTATTCAATGTCACCAATCAAGATGGAAACAAGATTACAGAAGAACCAATCTTGGATTATATCATGAAGGTGAGCTGTAGTATTTACTTCGTGTGTAATTCGGGAACTTTTTTGTTTACATGTAATGTAAGACTGACTTACTGTTTTTTTTGTTTGTGTGGGGGTGTTTCGATTTCAGTCTCTTGGTCCAGATTCTTGTTTTGCTTCTTCTATGAGAAGATCGGTTGGGGTTACTACAGGAATGGACCACACCTCAATTGAGCTAATTGGAAGTGATAGGCCAGGACTACTATCTGAAGTGAGTGCTGTCCTCACAAATCTTAGATGCAATGTGGTGAATGCCGAAGTGTGGACGCATAACACTCGAGCAGCAGCTATAATGCAAGTTACTGATGATGAAACCGGGGGTGCAATTGCTGATGCTGAAAAGTTGTCTATGATCAAGAAACTCTTATGCAATGTACTTAGAGGTAGCAATAAATCAAGAGATGCTAAGACATTGTTATCTCATGGGGTCACTCATACCGATAGAAGGCTTCACCAGCTGATGTTTGCAGACCGGGACTATGAACGTGCTGCGGGTGATGGATCGGATGATAAAGAAAGGCCAAATGTAAATGTTGTTAATTGGCAAGACAAGGACTACTCAGTAGTGACAATTCGGTGCAAGGATAGACCAAAACTTCTGTTTGATACGATTTGCACTTTGACTGATATGCAGTATGTGGTTTTCCATGGCAATGTTGATACTGAAGGACCAGAAGCTTACCAGGTACTTTAGTTTCCTACGTATTTCCGAAATTTCTTAGTCATTTATCGTTTTACCTATATCTGGATCTTGATTTCTCTGTATTTGTGCACTTAACTATAAACTCGTGTTGCATTTCCAGGAATACTGCATTAGGCATATAGACGGATCCCCTGTGAAATCAGATGCAGAAAGACAAAGAGTGATTCAATGTCTTGAAGCAGCAATAGAAAGACGAGTATCTGAGGTTAGCCCTTTGATTAACTTTTTGACATCTTTTTAAGTTCGATTTGTTTAGGTTTTAGACCTATTCTCTTTGGTAGGCTTTGGATTTCATTTCTAATCGAATCATTTTTCCTTTGTGTTTTTCCAGGGATTGAAGCTAGAACTATGTACCACGGACCGAGTAGGGCTGTTGTCCAACGTTACCAGAATCTTCCGTGAGAACAGCCTTACTGTCACTCGAGCAGAAGTGTCAACAAGAGCAGGCAAAGCTCTCAATACATTCTATGTTCGCGATTCATCAGGATACCCTGTCGATACTAAGATCATAGAATCTGTTCGACAAACAATTGGGCAAACGATACTTCGAGTGAAAGGCTCCCCTGAAGAGTTGAATCCAGTACAACAAGAATCTCCAACTAGGTTCCTCTTTGGTGGCTTGTTCAAGTCCAGATCCTTTTGTAATTTCGGTTCGGTTCGATCTTACTCTTGAAAGCAGAACTTAATAGTCCTCTTTCCCATTGTATATATTCCCATTTACTCTTCCCAGGTTTTAGCCTTTTAGGTATGGTTTATTAGCACAAGTTAATTACTTACCTAAGTGTCTGTAAATATTACATTCTTGATCACATTTTGCTCTTTTCATTGGTAATATTGGATTCAACACAATGTTGACCAAGTTGAAGCAAATTGAAAATTCAAGAATCATGTCATTTCCAGACCCCACTCTGGGATTTCACTGAATATGTTGTTATATGCAGCCATTTGCTGCGAAAAATCGGTGTCAGCTAGTAATGAGTTGATTGTCTTTGTTTTTTTGTGACAAACATTTGAACTATGTTTGACTTGAGAATCTTGATGTTTTCTACAGTTTTTTTTGGAGAAAAATATGAATCTTTGAAGTTGAAATGGTCAAATATTGTTAGAAACATTTCTTTGTCAAAAGAAAAGACCATAAATAGTTAGTACATTTTTTTTCAATTCAAATATACAGCCATCCAACTTTGACTAGCCAATTTTCTTGGTTTAGTAGGCCAATAAATCTAGGCGGCTTGTCAGCTCACTTGTATTAATCATGTAATTGTAATGGTTTGATATGCGGAATAAGGTGAAATATCTTAAAATTATATTTAGGATTAGACTTATATGGTCTTTGGTTGACGATATAAATTTATTTCAAGATAATCTAAACTTTCAACAAGTATAAATCTAATTCTAGGATGTCCTTCCTTAATTACATTCAACTTTCTTTAACATTTAATAAATATATTAGAGTTAAACTCTTCTAAAAAACCATATAAGATGAAGACACATGATAGGAAATGGTTTAGTGTTGTAAGGCTTTGATTTGTTAAAAAAATTGGAGCATCTCAATTGGTTATTTCTTGAACTTGTGGTTTTTTCTATTTTGGCATTTTGACTAAAAAAATAATATATATATATATATATATATATAT